TTGTATTTTGAAAAACAATACTAATTGAATAATTGAGAGAAACTTCATTCAACTATAAATTTAGTTGCAGTTTTTATTTTGTCGAGTAAATCAGATCAGTCAACAAGTTCAGTATATTTAATTTTTAAATGATTAGAGTTCAAATGCATTTGACATTTACTTCTGAGCTGCAAGCTTGTGTGTAACTGGATAAGTCCAAGGCCTCACTATTGCTGCTGCCACTGTCAAGTTTCTGCATGGGTCTCCACATGACTGACGCTTGATTATGAAACTACAGATCTATAAGCACATGAAGCAAGCTGTCCTGTAGGTAGTGGGGTCCAGAGTGCTGGATTTGCTTTCCTTCCTCTCATTCTGTTATCATTAAGATGATGTGAATCAAATGTCACTTAAAATATGATGCAGTTTAATGGACAAATTGTTGTCCATTTGAACAATTGGTAATATGCTACTCCTAATCTAAATGTCAATGTTGCAGCACTTCAAAAAGATCTCCTAAGTGTCATTGAAGCATTTTCATTGTCCTTCCCAGAAGACTGACCATTTGGGCATTGAAACAACAGAATGGTAGATGCTTTTTGACCATCAAATAATGTTCAGTGCATCAAAGTTCATTTTTGCAGGGGTTTTTTTTCTCTGGCTTGTTGGTTAGCTCGCTGAGCTGACTGGTTTTCGTGCAAATGTTTTGTCTCCCTTCTAGGTGACCTTGTCAGTGCTGCATAGCCTCCATTGAAGCGCTGTTGCTCTATCCCGCTCTGAATTTGTATGGTCTGGCCTGTCATGGTGAGCAGTCTTGTTTCCAGTTTTGTACTGTAGTGGTATATAGATGGGGTCTATTTCAGCATGTTTGTTAATTGCATCGAAGGTTGAAAACCAGGCCTCCAGGAATTCTCGTGCTACTAACCTTCTAGGTAGCAGCAATTTGACTCCACAAGAAAACAACATTTCTAGCGCAGAGAGCAGTTATTGCCAACATAATCTTAGACAATGTATCAGTCGTGCATAAGACCAAGAGCATATAAATTCACAGGGGGACAGAACAACAGCACTACAATGGAGGCTACATGACACTGACGTTATCACCTAGAAGGGAGATGAAGTGTTTGCATGAAAACCAGTCAGTTCAGCGAACGAACTAACAACTCCAACCACAACCCAAGCTACAGATCTTCGTTAAAACATTTATGTTTTTTTCTCTGTGCTCAGAAACTGGCTTCAATAAGGATACAAGGTTTTGACCAACCTTCCGATGAATCTCATTGTAGTAGGTCAGCTCTTGAATTTTCTCACCAGTGTCAATGTTTGGAGACAGGTGGCTGCCAAGATAAGGGAACTGCTCAACATATTCAAGAGTTTCTTAATCAATACATATAGGAAAGTGAATTGGATGACCAGGTTTGGGTTGATGTGAGTTTTGTTTTTGCAGCATTCAAGGATAGATCGAGTTTCTTGAAGCAGAATTTAGGAGATTGAGAGTGGCATGCAAATCTGGTGCAGAGTGGGCAATGACACAGCAGTCATTCACAAACTGTAAATCAGAATTGTTTAGAATGACACATGAACAGGCAGGGATTAGAGGGATAGGGACCATGTGCAGACAGGTGGGATTAGTTAGATTTGCATCATAGTTAGCACAGACATGATTGGCTGAAGGGCCTGTTCTTTTCCTGCACTGTTCTATGTTACAGTGCAAAGGAGGCCATTTAGTCCATAGTGTCTCTTCCAGCTCTCGAAATGAGCATTTCACCTGGATTTATTCTCCTGTCTCAATCCTGTAACCCTGCAAATTCAACCCTTTTCAAATTGCCTGTAACTTATTTTTGAATGCTTTGTACATGCCTCAACCAGACTCCCAGGCAATGTGTTCCAGACTTTACCCAAACATTGTGTGAAAAAATGTTTCCTCCTTATCATTTTGTAGCCTTTACTAATCACATTAAATCTATGTCCTCTATTTCTCAATCCTTTCGCAAGTGGGATCTTATATGCTGTATCGAGACCTTTCATGATTCTGAATACTTGAGTTAGACCTCCTCTGAACCTATTTCCCCTATGGATACCACTTCTAACTTCTCTAGGCTGTCTTCATAACTGAAAGTCTTCAATCTTGGAATCACCATCGTAACTTTCTTCTGCACTCTCCACCGCCTTCACAATACTTACTAAAGTGCAGTACCTAGAATGGGGTGCCATATGCCAGCTTGGGCTGAATTGGTGTTTTTATATAAGTTAACCATGACCTCCTTGCACTTTCTGCCATATTACTAACACTTGGTTTATGATGTGCTTTATTAGTGCATTCTGAACCTTTCCTGTTAACTTTAATGACTAATGCAGGTAAACACCCAGGTCCCTCTGCTGTTTAGAGTTGCACCTTGTATTTATATTGTCTGCACATGTTCTCCTGACCAAAATTTGTCACCTTCAACTTCTCTGCATTGAACTTCGTCTGCCACTTTCCACTCCACAAATGTTCATTTGTGTGTTCAAATTCTATACTACTTTGCAGTACTTCTGAATTTTGTATCACCTGTACCCCAACACCTGTAGATCATTAATACATATCTGGAAAAGCAAGGGTCACAACACTGACTCCTGGGGAAATGCAACTGAAGAAACGCCCATCAGCTATTAATATCTGTTTCCTATTACTCAGCTAATTTTGTATCCATGTTGTTATTGTCCCTTTTATTCCATGAGAACTGACTTTGCTCACGAGTCTGTTGTTTGGCATGAAATAAATGTCTTCCAAAAATTCACATGCACCACTTCAACAGCATTGTCTTCATTAACCCTTTCTGCCACCTCAACAAAAAAAATCCAGTACATTGGCAGTTATTTTGCCCATAATTTATTGTTTCTAGAAGCTTCCCCATCACTAAAGTTAAATTAACTGGTTCTTAGCAGATCATGTGTGTCTGTTGTGATCAGTTTAATTTTGGTATGGTGGCGAATGAGAAAGTATTTAACTTGTACGTTGCATTTAATGTTGGCATCAGAAGACAATTAATCGTTGAGTTGAATAGCCGCTGTCAGGTAGATTATAAATAGTATGCAGGATTTTGCAGCCTTGATAGACACTAGTCTGGATTTTGCCATTGCCTGTTTCTAATCTCCCACTCAACAGTTGCAGTCATATCATTGTGAAGCACATGGTGGATTTTGAAGTTTCTTGAACATCCAAACCTTTGGAACACAATCCCAGAGCCTTGCAGTTTGAATCAGATGCTTTAGTCAGGGTGATACATACAAAGAGGAGTTCCACATTTTCTTGGATTTGGCTGGTAGCAAAGAGCACGTCAGAGGTTCCTCTGAAAGTTCTAAAGTCACATTTTAAATACAAATGAATTGTTCAAATCTTCGTGTGGCTGACATGCGTACACTTCCATGTGGTATCAGAACAATAATGTATATTTATGTGAAGTCTTTACATAGGTAAACAACTTAAATTAGATTCAGTGAAGCATTTCTTATTTTGAGATGGAGTGAAAGGAATTATGATATGGTATCTAAAGCACAACTTGAATAGGCTTCAGAGATTCCAAACTGCTTGTTCATCTCAACAGTGGTCCAGCTGGAAGGTGGATTTGGTGGCGAGAGTCTAGACTTTGTGGCTTGAAGTTAAAGACTTTTAAATGTTTAGTTGCAATTTTTGTTATTTATCCAACATTATAAGTCTTTGAGGGGTAGTGGAAAGATAAGAGCTGGGTTTAGAGATGAGCTTCTCACCAGACATCTGTATCTTCACCAAACCACCGATTTTCGCCTCTGAAATGTTACCTGACTTTAGTCTGAGTTTTAATTTAACCATTGCTGAAACTCCCATCCATGTCTTTATCACTTTAAACTTGATTATTGCAACATTCTTCTGGTGGGTCTCTCGGCTGTCTGACCCCCATGAACTGAAGCTCATCCAAATCTTGTATCCCAAACCCTGCTTACGCATCACTTCTAAATTCTCTGACCTATATTCATTCCTCATCCATCCCTATATATGAATCTTCCTCCATCTCCTTGCATCCTCTGAGATCTTTGTGGACCTTAATTTCTCTTCTGCATTTTTGGTTTTAATTGCTGCGCAGTTGGGAGTCATGTTTTCCAGCGAATAGATTACCTATAGTGTGGAAACAGGCCATTTGGCCCAGACCCATCCCCCCCACTACCCTTTCCCTGTTTATTTCTGCTTTAAAAGTATTCATTTATGTCAAATTTGCAACCCTATGGGATAGAGAAATCCAGATTTTCAATCGTTTGTGTGAAGAAGTTTCTGCTAATCCCAGCCATAAATGACCAGCTTTTTATCCTAAAAGACTATGTGCCAATATGTTCTACGTATGCCAACCAGTGAAAACAACTTATTGGCATCTACCTGTCTAGCTCCTTCGAGATCACGTGCTGAAAGCTGCTGAGACTCTTGCTCATGCTTGTGCATCCCTAACGCTTTTTAAATGCATTCCCTTTTGGCTTTCCAAGCTCCTCTTGGTATGAATTTGAAGTTTTTAACTTGCATGCATGACAGATCAACTTTTGTTCATCCACTTATTGACCTTTTTGATTTCCACTGGATCTCAAAATAGCAAATACAAATTCCTACAGTGGATCTCATCAAAATTGGGGATAATGGCTGTGAAGTCTAACATATGATAGAATGTGGGTGGTGCACCTTTGTATAAGCTTCCCACTTAGTCTGTAATTTCTTTCTGCCCAAAGTTTTGGTCCTAATCTGACTTTGGGATCTTGTACTTTCCCTTTTCCCAACATTGTGTCTTGGTGAGAGCTTTCAGCTGTTTAGTCCCTTTGTGGCTCTTTTTTTTAAGTGCCTTTGTTATTTCATATCCCATTTTCATAAAATCTCCTTGAACATTTTCTTCTCAAGTGTACTTTCAAACAACCCTTCATGCAAAAGCTGCATAAACTCTATCTGTAATAACAAGGTGGAGAGCTGGATGAACACAGCAGGCCAAGCAGCATCAGAGAAGCAGGAAAGCTGACATTTTGGGCCTAAAGTAGGCTGTTCATCCAGCTCTCCACCTTGTTATCTCAGATTCTCCAGCATCTGCAGTTCCTACTATCTGTAAACTCTATCTGCATGAAGCTACTTAGCTTATTCATAGAATCCCTACAGTGTGGAAACAGGCCCTTCAGCCCAACAAGTCCACACCAACCCTCAGAGCATCCCACCCAGACCCATCCCCCTATAACCCACCTAATCTACACATCCCTGAACACTACGGGTAATTTAGCATGGCCAATCCACCTAGCCTACACATCTTTGGACTGTGGGAGGAAAGTGGAGCAGCCAGATGAAACTCACACAGACACGGGGAGAATGTGCAAGCTCCACACAGACAATCGCCCGAGGTTGGAATCGAACCCGGGTCCCTGGCTCTGTGAGGCAGCAGTGCTAACCACTGAGCCACTGTGCCACCCCTCTTATGTCTGATTCCATCCTGATATTATCATGTGCCATTCCTGGCACTCCAATAAGCTATGCAAGTCTAAGTTGATGCTTCAATAAAGGAATCTAATTTTGTGAAAAGGAGAAGCAATCTCCTCGTTATTTACTAATAAGATTGTCAAAACAGTACCCAAGTATTTGAAATAATTTTAATTTCAATTGCACGAAATGCAAGCGATTAACTAAATGTGACTTAATTATGTTATTGAATGATTGAATGATTGCTAGCTTCCCTCCTCCCCCACCCCACCAATGCCTTCCCTCCCTTCAAAAATTCCAAAATATCGCATGTAAACGTAGAAAATAGTAGTAGGAGTAGGCCATTTGGCCCTTCATAATGACTGCTTTGTCATTCATTACGATCATGGCTGATCATCCAACTCAATAGCCTGTCCTTGCTTTTCTCACATATCCTTTGATTCCTTTAGCCCCAGAGGCTTTGGAAAACTTGGCACATCATCCAAGAGGACTAATTTCAGAGCTTGTCTGTAGCTTGGAAAATAGTATTCATATGTATTGTAAACCAAAAAGTTCAAGTCAAATACAACTGTTTCCAAATCTCTACTAGTTCACGACAGGTTGGTTGTGCATTGAATTGCTTAAGTATATTCCAGAATTAATGGATGATAAAGTGGTAGATATATAATCTAAATATGGTATATAATCTAAAAAAAATAGTTGTTTTCTATTGACAAACATACTTCTCGGTATGGAGTTTCAAGACTGCTGTTCTGAAAAAGAGTCGTATGGACTCGCAACATTAATTTTGTTTCTCCCTAACAGATGCTCCCTGACCTGTTTTCTCCTGTATTCTTTTTGTTTCAAATTTCCAGCATCAGCAGTATTTTACATTTCTTCCACCTTGTTTTAAACTTGGAATTCTTAGTAGTTTTTATTCAAAATTAGCAAGCCCAATATGTTATGAATTTGAAGTGAAACTTTGAAATGCTTTTGCTATGTTGGGGGATACAAGACAATGCATATGTTCATCCATGAGTAATTGTAGATTTCTGGGACTATTGGAGGTTTTTGGGAATATGATGTCAAAGGGCAATGCTGTCATTCTGAATTTAATGTTATCTCATGCAAATTTTGAGCCCATATTAGTGCATTCTTGAACAACTAGAGATGGCTAAGTCATTTGACGTTTATTTTCATAGATCATAGAATCCCTACAATGTGGAAACAGGCCCTTCGGCCCAACAAGTCCACACCGACCCTCGGAGCATCCCACCCAGACCCATCCCTCTATAACGCACCTAATCTACACATCCCTGATCCCTATGGGAAATTTAGCATGGTCGATCCACCTAGACTGCACATCTTTGGACTGTGGGAGGAAACTGGAATACCCGGACGAAACCCACACAGGCACAGGGAGAACGTGCAAACTCCACACAGACGGTCGCCCGAGGGTGGAAATGAACCCGGGTTCCTGGCGCTGTGAGGCAGCAGTGTTAACCACTGAGCCGCCGTGACACCCATTTGTACAATGGATATAAATGAAAGCGGCAGTGTTGTGCCTTTAGAAAGGTAAAATTGATAATCTGATTCAATATACATTTTCATATCATCTCACACTCTGTAGAATGAAGAAACAAGTAACATGGACTGGGACTTTGATTAATTTAAAGATTTGGCAAGACCCTAAAATTCCAGATGTTTTTTGAGTCAACTTAAACCAAGCCAGATATTGCATGGCCGTTTTTTGGCTGTACTCGAATTGCTTCAGTAGAGTTTTGAATGCTTAGTAAATAACATTGACTAGCTTTAGACTGAAGCATGTAACTTCATGGAATGTTGCTTTTGAATTGTCTAGAGTGCAACCTGTACAACCTCCAGTTCAAGCTATTGCAGTGAAAGGCTATTTCTTAACCCTCTGGTTTGGAATTCCATTTTACAATGTGTACAAGCATCATGTGAGATGTGGGCCTGACAATGGAAATTATGCTGGGCTGCAAATACAAGGAAGAAAGTTGATAAAGAGCCCAAATGGTAACCAGCTCTCTTGAATTTCCTTAACTTTTTCTCAGGAATGTAATTAACTTGAATAAAATCAACCTAATTCATATGTCTAATGTAATTTTATACATGTGTTGTGATTGTAAGTACTTATTTCACAATACTGCCAAACCTTTTGGTTCATTACAGTATCTGCTTCTGTCGGATTTTAGCAGATAATACTGTAATGTCTTGCTTTTCAATCTGTGCTTGCCATGATACTTGCCTTTCGTGTAGCGCGGTTTTGTATCTCAAACTCTTGTTAGTTAGCTCAGTTGGCTAGACAGCTGGTTTGTGATACAGTGGGCAGCACGATGGTTCAGTGGTTAGCACTACAGTCTTACAGCACTGGGGACCTGGTTTCAATTCTACCCTCAGGTGACTGTCTGTGTAGAGTTTGCACATTCTCCCTGTGTTTTCCTCTGGGTGCTCTGATTTCCTCCCACAGTCCAAAGATGTGCAGATTAGATGGATTGGCCATGCTAAATTGCCCACAATTTCCAGAGATTGTAGGCTAGGTGGATTAGCCATGGGAAATGCAGTGTTACAGGGATAGGGTAGGGGGTTGGGTCTGGATGGAATGCCGTTTGGAGGGTTGGTGTAACTTGATGGGCCAAATGGCTTCCACGCTGTAAGGATTCTATGTTTGATGCCAGCAGCATGGGTTCAGTTCTTGCACCGGCAAAAGTTATCATGAAGGGCTGTCCTTCTCAGTTTTCTTCGCTTGCCTGAGGTCTGTTGACCCTCAGGTTAAAACCATCACCAGTTTGCGCTATGGTCAAGTAAGACTATGGCGACTTTACCTTACATGTACATCTTAACTTGCTGCTAGGTACAACTTAAATGAGCAAATTCTGAATTGATTGTTTAAGCTTTGGCTATAAGCTGTCATGAATAAATTAAATAAATGCAACCTCAAAATACAATTCTGACTTCAGAACAATGAGTCAGGTAAGAATTAAATAAAAATGAAGAAGCAGGGCAGAACAAATTGATGAAATAGGTAGGTAAAGCTCAGTTCCAAAATATTATCGAGTTAATGTTTATTCTGTTTCTCCCTATACACATGCCACCAAACCTGCTGAGTTTCTCCAGCAGGTGGCTGACATCACAGTATTTTGCTTTAGGTGCGGATAAATTTTAAAAAAACCTTGTTGTGCAATTAAACAGATCCCATTATGGATAATGAATTGGGGTTTGTCCAAAGTAATATGACCTCACTAGCCCAAATCGCTTTCTAGAACCACAGACTATCTAAAAACTAGATACAATATACATCTGTTGAATAAAGGACAGGCACAAACAGTACATTATTTTTAATCAAAGAACTGGCACTGGTATGATGGTCCAAATGGCCTCCTTTTGTGTACGATTCTAGATATTTTCTAGATGTTGGTACACATCCTTGGAAGAAGTGGGATTTGAAGCTGGGCTCTCAAGTAGAAACGGAAGTTGCTGGAAAAGCTCAGCAGGTTTGGCAGCACCTGTGGACAGAACTGAGTTCTGAGAAAGGGTCACTCGACCTGAAACATTAACTCTGATTTCTCTCCACGAATGCTGCCAGACCTGCTGAGCTTTTCCAGCAATTTCTGTTTTTGTTTCTGATTTACAGCAACTGCAATTCTTTCGGTTTTTATTTTGAAACTGGGCTTCCTGGTCCAGAGGTGGAACACTCCCACTGCACCAGTAGAGCCTTTCTAGTAAAGGGTAAATCCATGACATACAGATTGGTGAAGATTCCAAGTATTTGGCAGTCTTTTTGAGCAGCTTTCTTCAAGGTCAGCAATTGCTTCGCTATGCTACTGAGCACAAACTCTGAGCCAAACTCTTTGAGTAATGCTGATTGAGGAACCAAGATTGACCTGGATCCAGGAGAATGTCCAACCGAGAGAGTAGATATTTTCTAATCAACCTGCTCTAAGGTGTTAGTGTATACCTCTGGAGAAGATGAGACTTGTACCCAGGCTTCCTAGCTCAGAGGTAGGGATGTTACCACTGTACTACAAGAGCCCGCTGAATGATCTTTTGGTACAATCAAGTAAATGGGAACATGTGGCAGGTGAGATGCCTAGATTAATCAATTATGCAGGTTAAATGAATCTAACTTCTGGAAAGCAAGTTTATCCATTATTAAATAGGGTCAGGTTTAAGCAAAAGTAATTTGTCCACTTGCACTGCAATCTCTCTGCTCTTCCATAGATCTACCTAGTGTTGTCCCTTCCTACTCATTCTTTATAATACTTTATCTGATGCTACATTTTCTATCTTCTCAAACTTCTCATCTTCCCAGTACCCACTACATTTGATGTTCATTAGCCAGCGAACATATTTACTGTCTGTCAATTTTCTTAACAGCAAAATATCTCTTCATCTGTACCCATCAAACAAAATTTAATACCTCTTTGGCCTTATATAGCTCAGTGTTTTTTGTTGAGGTGGCTTAAATCAGGAGGAAGTCAGATTTTAGAGCGGGAGATACAGAATTTAAGTAGCTGAAGGCCAAGCCATGAACATCGAAGTGAAGAAAGTCCTGGATGCACAAGAGGTTTTACCTGGGAGATTGTAGAGATTTTGGAGGGCTGAAGAATTAGAGGTAGGGTATAGAGATAGAAATGGATGCTATGGAGAGCTTTGAAAAGAATGAGTTTTAAAATTACGTTGTTACCGGAATTCGGTGTAGGTTAGTTTGACTACTCTCTGCAAGTTACTTCATCTACTTGTTGTATCCATAATCTTTATTATTCCTGTGGATCCTAATGGTTCTCTGTGATGAATGATTTCCCCAACTTAATATGTCATATCTTGCACCAGCTACTTTAACTGATTCCCATCCTTGGAGAATTCGCTTGACCTTCAACTTAGTAGCCTTTCAGTCTTATTACAGCTCTGCACTTACCTTAATTTCCAAACCAAAAGTTCAGTTCTTCCCTTTGGCACCTCCTCATTACACGCTAGGTTACGCACCACCTTGCCTTGCATTTCACTTTCCAAACTGTGTAAAAGTACTTGGGTCACGTTTAAGTCATCATGTAACAGACACTGCTATGAAAAGGACATTCTCTTACTTACCTATGTCCACTTTTCAAAACCTTCTGACTTCTTGTAAGCAATGTGATAAGGGTATACTCTGGCATTATTAAAAGTTATATTGATTACTAAAGTCACATAAATGGGTCAATTACCATTATGAACCAAAGTATAACCTTGTGAATGAATGTGCGGTACATGCCTTGCAGCTAAAAATCTATGCTTTTAACAAGGAGTTAGGAGGCGAAAAGGGCCATGAAATGACCTTGGGAAACAAGATTAGGGAAAATCCTAAGGCTTGTTATATGTATATAAGGAGCAAGAGGGTAGCAAGAGGAAAAGTAGGTCCACTTGAGGACAAAGGAGGGAATTTATGCCTAGAGTTGGAGAATGTGGATAATGTTATTAACGAATATTTTGCATTGGAAGGACACGGTGGAAGGTGAGTCTAGAAAGGGGTTAGTTGATATTCTAGGGCATGTTGATATAAAAATGAGGTTTTGGGTGTGTTGAGAAAAACATCAAGGTAAACAAATCCCCAGGATCTGATGGGATCTATCCCAGAATACTGAGGGAGGAAATTTCTAGGGCCTTATACAAAATCTTTTGTATCCTCTTTAGGGACTGACAAGGTCCCAGAGGACTAGAGAGTTGTCAATGTTTTTCCTTTGTTTAAGCAGGGCGACAGGCATAATCAGGAAATTACAGGCCACTGAGCCTTATTTCACTGTGAAGTTGTTGGAGAAGATTCTTAGGGACAGGATTTATTTACATTTGGAAAAATCTGGATTTATTTGTGACAGGTAGCATGACTTTGTGTGGGAGAGGGTTGGGGGGTGGTGGTTGTGTCTGACATGCTTGATTTGAGTTATTTGAAGGAGGGACAAAGATGATTGAGGGCAAAGTGGTGGATGTTGTTTACATGGACTTTAGCAAGTCCTTTGACAAGGTCTCATGGCAAGCTGATACAGGAGGTGAAGTCACATAGGATCCGCAGTGAGCTGGTAAGATGGATACAGAACTGGCTTGGTCACAGAAAAGAGAAAGTAGCAGTGGAAGGGTGTTTTTCTGACTGGAGATCTGTGACCAGTGGTATTCCACAGGGATCAGTGCTGGGATCCCTGTCATTTGTAGTTTATTAATGATTTTGAGGTGAATCTAGGTAGTCTGATTTGTAAGTTTGCAGATGACACAAAGGTTGGGAGAGCTGCAGATAGTGAAGATGATTGCTACAGGATAAAGCAAGATAGGCTGGAGACTTTGGTGGAGAAATAGCAGATGGAGTTTAGTCTAGACAAGTGTGACGTGGTGTACTTTGGAAGGTCCTACGCAGGAGGGACATGTACAGTAAATGACAGAGCATTAATATACAGAGGGATTTAGGCAAACAAGTTCCCTGAAAGTGGCAACATGAGTGGATAACATAGTCAAGAAGGCATATAGTATGCTTGCCTTCATTGATTGGGGGCATAGAGTATGAAAATTTGCAAGTCATGTTGCAGTTGTATAGAACTTTAGTAAGACCATGTTTGAAATATTACACGTGGTTCTGGTTTCCACACCACCAGAAAGATGTGGAGGCTTTGGAATAAGTACAGAAACAGTTTACCAGGATGTTGCCTGGTTTGGTATTATCTGTGAGGAGGGATTTGACAAACTTGGTTTGTTTTCACTTGAACATCAGAGGCGACCTGGTAGAGGTTTACAAAATTGAGAGGCATGGATAGAATGAATAGTTGGAGATTTTTTTCCCAGAGTAAATTACATGGGGACAAAGGTTAAGGTAAAATGGAGAAGGTTTAAAGGACATGAGAGGCAAATTGTTTTTAAACAGAGGATATGTGCCTGGAATGTGCTTCCAGAGGAGGTAGTAGAAGCTGATAAAGTAGCAATATTTAAGAGGCATTCTGACAGATGCATGAATAGGCAGGGAATAGAGGTCTACAGACCACGTAGAGGCAAAAGGT